AAGGGGAGGAAAAGTAAGCGGGGGAGCCGGCAGGGTTTGTTTCCCAGAGTGGCAGGTTGCCTAGACTGTGACCTGCCAGTGGCAAAAGGCACATCTAGGAAAGAGAAACATCTCCCTAGGACCTCAGCACTCCTTATGGCAATGTTTCTGTGGCTGCATGCATCAGGTACTGTAGCCAAAACACATATAAGTGGTTTCACGGACAGAAGCAGGCATCTTGCCCCACTCAGGTGGGGCGGGACTTTTGCTGTGACCCCAGCAGTGGTGGGATCCCTGGTTCCTGTGGCTCAGGCCAGCCACTACAGCATCAGGGAGCTCCCCACGCTGCTCTGGACACAGCAGAGGCACCGCCACACGCCAGAGCATCACTCGCAAAGGGTGCAGCATAAACGCACTTCTTTGTGAGGTTTTGTTTGCTGTGCTTTGCGGTATGCCACTGAAAAATCACGTGCTGTGAACAAAGGAACAGAGGAAGGATTTCTGTTTGTGTGTTTCACAATCAACAGGGAAAATACCCACTAAAGCCGGGAAATAAACACAAACGTATCTGTGGTGCCTCGGCAGCCTGCTCTCAAAGGAAAACAAACCCAGAGGTTCTCTACTCCTCTGTAGGCTGCAGAGTGGCCTGCCTTCATTTTTTTTTCTAGTGAAGCCACAGCCGATTCACACCAGTATTGCTGGGCAAAATAATCAGACCAAATCTTTTCACGAGCACTGGCTAATTAAGAAAACAGAAACAAAGTTTAGACTAACCACAGGCTGAAGTGGCAGGTAGGTCTTCAATTTCCTCATCAAAACTGTTGCGTGTCTGGGGCCAAAGCATGGGTTTAACACAGTCTGCATAGGAGGATCAGCCAGGAAAATTCACATACACTTTCCACTGCTCCAAAACATTGTTTGGCCACACTCTAGCATGCTAGTTTTAATGTTTTCTGAAAGTGAGTTCTTTGCAGTAACCTCTTCCAGCAAATTACAGCTGAGAACAAATACATCCATCATTCACAGAAGCTCACGATGTCCATACCAGCCCCTTTCAACTGCTCTCCCTTTTTCTCACTCACTCTAAAGCCAGTTGCAATTGCTGCCCCTTACCTCACATCACAGCAGGTCCCTCAGCAGCTATTTGGGTTACCCAGACCTCTCTCAGCTTTCCTCTTGATGCATCAACCTACGCAGTGAACCTGCTAACAGCTCCCTCTGAAGGTGACCTGCATCTCTTGGTTCCTCACATTATAGCAAAGAGCACTAAGTAGGGTTCCCAGCAGCAGAGAAACTGGGTGACCTCTTTCTTCCTGCTTAGGCTGCTAGTGACACATCCTGCCAGGCATAGGTTGGTGCTGCGAATCGTTGTGTTATCAAATGTATTTGTCATGGCAGCTGCTAGAAGACCCCGTGGAGATCATAAACAGCAAGCTGGAGCTTCAAGCCTTTGACCAAATCGACGAGGAAATCAAACTAATTGGCTACTTCAAAGGAGAAGACTCTGAACGTAAGATAAATATGTTCCTCATGGGGCTTGGAGCTTGGCTTGGGGCTGGGCATCGGTTCTTCTGCATGGACATTAAGGGTGTGGGAGTATATGGTGGGCTGTGACACTGCCAAAGTTGCTGGAGGATGAGGTGGGCTTGCAAGCAAGTTTCTGCTGTTCCTATGCATAAGCCCATTCCTACACCAACAGTGGTGGCCCTTCTGCAAGGCATCTGCTAGCATAAAAAGGGGGCGATTATCCAGGGTCCCCTGAAGAACTTACTTGTCTACCTCACCCAAAATCAGCTGAGGTTACAGTTACCCCGAGTAAGCACCTAAAAGGAGCAAAGGTCCCCTCTTTTGAGCAGTGAGCCTAAAAGGTCAAAGAAAGGGGGAGGGAGACAAAAAGGGGACACATGTTAAATCCTAACTTGGCAAACATATAGCAGTAAACAGGACACCTTAGAGCAGCCTGGCAGAGGCACTGGCCTGCTTCTCCTTGCTGAACCCCAAGACTGAGAAGAGGCTGGTCCCATGACCCTGAGAGACGTGCAACTCAGGGACCTTTCCAGGCAAAACCATCAGCTTTCATGAGCCTTGAGAAACCCTCACCCGGGTCTCTCCCCGGCAAGCCCCAGCAGTCTCCTCTGCCAGCCCCAAGCGCTGCCCTTGCTCTCTGGGTGGCACTGGCAGCGTGCACCCCTCATTTGCAAGGCTTGCCTTTAGCAAGAAGACAGGTATTCTTACCTGACCGAGCTATCACCATGTCTGCTGCACTGCAATAGCCCATACACCTCTCCCTTCAGCTTTCTCACCTGCTCAAAATGGGCTGCAGGGCAGCTCGGGCAGGGCTGTGCCCCTAACACTGCTCGGTAATAGGTGGTTTGAAGAAAGATGGGAAATACATGTTGTAAAGAGCTCTCACCAGGCTGAGATCATCCTTCCTGACCCCAGCTGAGGACCTGATACTAATGACAGTAAAAACATACCTCAATCCTGCCCCTTTGTCCTGCAGCAGGAGGAGTGTACCTAGTCATGCTTGGTGGCTGTTTAGGGAATGGCAGCAATTATTAATGCTGGAGCAACTCCATGTATTTCCCAGGCTGAACTACTGCTTGTGCAAGAGGACAGCTGCAAACACACTTATCAACAGGCTGGAGCTGTAACCTCTGGATCTGCTTCACAGGGCTGCTGGTTTTAGCCCAGTTAAGCATGGCATGCCAGGATCTGTAGTTTTCCTGAGCACTGTGGGGCTGCACAACATGTGTCCTGTTCGCTCCACATGAAATGGTCCTTGTTTGTAAACCCTGGAAGGGTAGAAGAAACATAGCGTTGTCATCTGATGTATTTTGCACTAATTTATATTTGTTCTTCTGTAGTGCCTTCTGTGCTGATCAGAGCATGGCCAGCTGCCTGTGTAATCTTTTCTTCATTCCCCTTTTCTCCTTCCAGATTACAAAGCATTTGAAGAAGCTGCCGAACATTTCCAGCCATACATCAAGTTCTTTGCCACCTTTGACAAAGGGGTAAGCATCCACAGACCTCACCATGAGAGCTCATAACCTCTACAACATGTTTTTCAGAGGTTCAGGATGATCCCAGATTTAATATCTGGCTCCAGCTGCTCATTTTCAGTGTTCCTGTAATTTATGCTACTGATGTCCACATTTGGATTTGGCCCTGTGGTGTTCCCAGGGACCAGTATTTGGGCCAGTTCTATTTAACATAATTATTGATGATCTGGACTAGGCGATGTAGTGCATCCTCAGTAAGTTTGCAGATGACAGCAGGTTGGGTGGGAGTATCAATATGCTTAAGGGTAGGATGGCTCTACAGAGGGATCTGGACAGGCTGCATCAATGGGCCAAAGACAATTGTATGAGATTCAACAAGACCAAGTGCTAGGTCTAGTAGCTGGGTCACAACAACCCCATACAGCACTACAGGCTTGGGGAAGAGTGGCTGGAAAGCTGCCCGGCAAAAAAAGTGTTGGTTGACAGCCGGCTGAATATGAGCCAGCAGTATGCCCAGGTGGTCAAGAAGGCCAATAGCATCCTGGCCTGTAACAGGAATAATGTGGCCAGCAGGACTAGGGCAGCGATCGTCCTGCTGTACTCAGCAGTGGTAAGGTCCCCCGTCGATTACTGTGTTCAGTTTTGGGCCCCTCACTACAAGAAAGACATTGAGGTGCTAGAGCATGTCCACAGAAGGGCAATGGAGCTGGTGAGGGGTCTGGAGAACAAGTCTTATGAGGAGTGGCTGACAGAACTGGGGATGTTTAAGCCTGGAGCAAAGGAGGCTGAGGAGTCTTATCACTCTCTACAACAACCTGAAAGGAGGTTGTAGTGAGGTGGGGGTCAGTCTCTTCTCCCAAGTAACAAGCTACAGGACAAGAGGAAACAGCCTCAGATTGTGCCAGGAAAGTTTTAGATTGGATATTACAAAGAATGTCTTCACTGAAAGGGTTTTCAAGCACTGGAACAGGCTGCTCAGGGAAGTGGTGGAGTCACTGTCCCTGGAGGTATTTAAAAGATGTGCAGATGTCGGGCTTAGGGACATGATTTAGAGGTGGACTTAACAGTGTTAGGTTAATGGTTGGACTAGGTGATCTTAAAGGTCTTTTCCAACCTAAACAATTCCATGATTCTATAAAAGGCCATTGCTGCACCGTGGAGGCAGGTCCTGGTCTGGGATAGGAAACCAGCCCCATTAGGTTTGTAGGATTTTGACTCTGGCCTTGCTCTGCCCCAGTGCTTGAGACCAGTAGTGTAGGGAGCATCAGTGTTTTTTTAACCAAGGAAAGATTCATTCATATTTTGTGGGCCACCCCTAAGAGTGTGTGTTCTGGAAGAGAGCAAGCACCTTGACCTCACCTCTGCCACTGGGAGAGGCTCTGGGTAGGCAAAGTGGCACATCATGCTCACTCACCTCTGACCATCTGCACTGCAACAGGTTGCCAAGAAGCTAGGTCTGAAGATGAATGAGGTGGACTTCTATGAACCATTTATGGATGAGCCTGTTCACATCCCTGATAAGCCTTACACAGAAGAGGAGTTAGTGGAATTTGTGAAGGAGCACAAAAGGTATGTAGCATACAGGATGCTCCTGGCCACAGGAAGCGGGTAAAGGTGTCTGTCATTGCAGGCTTCCCCCTCTAGGGCATCCCTCTCTGTAAAAATTAGCATGACTACCACCTTTTGGCGATTTGCTGACCCAGGTTTGAGATTTTGGCTGGTCTTTTCCTACACCCAGAGGTGCAAGTATCTGTGCCACAATCAGAGCCCACCATCATGGACCTGTGACAACACAGCTTCCCTCCTCCCTCTCCCTGGTTAGTCCTCCCTCAAAGAGGAGGAAGGCTTGCAGGCTGCATAGAGTGTAGAGTGGAAACAAGTTGCCCATGCTTTTAATGTAGGTCTGTACAGAAGGTGATTTTCTCCAAGGCCTCTCAAGCCAAAACTTAATTCTCTCCAGTCCCCTCCTTCCCTCAAACAGCTTCACTAATGGGTATATCCCTCACCTGGAGTCAGATATGTCTGTAGGCAGGTTCTGAGCTCAGACCAAGCTTGGAGGAACTGTGATGGACTAAAAGGCCCCTGCTGACCGCAGGTGTAGAGAGGAAGCCACTGCTGTTATGCCTGTCTTAGTCCTCATCTGCAAAGTGCTGAGCACCTACAATGTTTGATGAAGTCAGTGGCAGCTGTGGATGCTCCGTGCTTTTTGCGATAAGGTTTATTGCACAGTTGTTTAGGGACTTGGCCACCAACAGTCTGGAAGTGACTGGAAAGACTGTTCCCATGTAAAAGCACTGACTTAAATATAAGGGCATAACTACCTATGAGGTGCTATATTTTTTACACCCTTAAAAATGTAGCACAGGATAGTCACACAGGCTATCTGCTGGTCCTGCAATTGCATTTCCCAGCAGACATTCAAGGGAACAGAAGAAAGTTCGAGAAAAGCAGGGCCATTGATACTGTTAGGGGAGCCCAAATCAGGCTGAGCTGGAGGTTTGCGTTCACACACAGAGGGTTCAAAGACAGGAGATTATCTCCACAGTCTGTGAGTCACCAGACTTGGAAATAGATCTCTACTTTTTCTAAAATATGAAGGGGTCCTCTATCTCCCATGTACTCTCAGGTCACTTTGCTGACCTCCTGGACTTCCTGGCCTCAGTCCTTCCCATCTTTCTTCCCAAGCAATTTCTGTCAGGCAGCAGCGTCAGGAAGCTGATTAAACACAGTCAGCTAAGTGCTAGCCTAATAAGGCAAGCTCTCCACCAGCATAAAATTGCAGTGGAAGCCCCCCAAGTCTTACATATTTCAAGATGCTATGTTGTGCTTGGTAGGAGCAAGGGGTTGGATCATATATTTTGCATGTGCCAAGGCTCAGAAGGGAATTAAAATGAATCTCATGAAATCAGATGCCCGAAACCCCAAACCTGCCAAGATGGCAGGGGAAAAACCCTGGGATGACAGTGATATGTTCCCAGTAGTTAATGCTGAGTCTCTGGGAGCAGAAGTTCTTCTTCCTGCCTTGCCACCAGTAAAGGACCTAAAGCCAAAGGCTGGAAGTGGAATTAGTCAGACACAGAGATGATCAGGCCTGTAGAGAAAAACAAAGAGACCTCATCAGCTGCCACATGCTGGTTCCCTGTAGACAACTCAGCAGGATCTTCTTCTCTGCAGGAAGGTGTAGAGGACCACTTGCCTCCTCCCCCTCACACAACAGACTTTCTCACTTCACCCCAACCAGCAGGCACGGGCTATTGCTCCACTGATGTCCAAAGCCCCACTGCTACCTCTCCTCCATCCTGCAAGAAGGAACCCCGTCATACCACTGGGAAAAGCTCCCAGTGCTCAGCAGTACCCAGGCTCTTTGGTATGCTTTAAACAGCCCTTCTAAAAAGGGGTCCCTGCTGCCATGCCCAGGTGGGCTTCACCACCTCTTTTTCCAGCCCTACATGGAAATTGGGATTTGCTGAGCTCTCACTGCAGCCTTAAGGCAGGAGCTGAAGTGGGTGGCCAAGAGGAGCCCATACACAGCCTCCTGGCTGATGCTTCTCTGGGCAACTGCAGGCAGTGGTGGGAAAGTTCATCCTCTCCAGAGCAGGTCAGGAAGCCGGTGTTCAGCGCTGTGGGGTGACTCGTCCGAGGTCAATAGGAGTTCAGCTGAGGATAGTGGCTGGCTCCTGTGACTCCAAGGTCTCAGCCCAGATTTTGCCCTCACTTGCACAAATACAAATTACATGGCTGTTCCTCTGCGTGCAGCAAGAGGCTTCTGGGTTTATGCCTGTTTCACATGCGAAATGCTGGGGTTGGACCCACACCCCCGCACCCCATTCTCTGTAATTGTGGTGTAGCAACACGGGGGCTGAATTCTGCTTCCTCATGTTCACCTAAACCCCACTTACGTCGCTCCCTCCAGCATTGGGGAGTAACCAGAGTAAATCTTGAGTAACTCCACAACAATTGGTACACATGGGTGGGATCAAATCCTTCCCATCAAGTTTCCTTTCTCCAAGCTTCCCCTAGAAAACGGCTATTGAAGCATCTTGAAAGCTAGGTACAAGTACATAATACACATTTGCCTGATATAATCTCCAGTTTCTGCCAATCAGCTATGAAGAGACTTGCTGGGTCAAAAATTGCATCCCCGATCTTGTGCTCAGTGGCTATTTCTTCAATTTCTATAGTCACTTTTTACCTCATTTCTATTTTGATGCTGCAAGTATCCAATTGTGATGAGTTCAGTGGCTGAATTATGCATTGCATCAAAAGAGCATTTCTATTTGTTCAGTTTATACCTCTACTGAATAACTCACTGTGTGCCTACTAGCTCTTGTGTTATGAGGAACAAAGACTAGCCATTCCCTGTTTCACTTTTAACTACTACTGATCTTTTAGACTCCCTGACAATATCCTCTTCATTCACCTCTTTTACAAGGTAAAGAGCGCTCATCTATTTAATCTCCCCCAAGCAGAGGTCATTCCTTACCTTCGTTCACTGCTGCCATGTTTCCATGTCCCTTTTTTAGTTGTCCCATAGAACTTCTGTGATGGGATGACCAGAACCACAAATACATTCACTGTGAAGGTGCACAGTTGTCCATTGCTATAATGGTATGTTGTGTTTTCCCAACTATTTGTAACCTTCTTTTTGCCTTTGGAACTGATGCTTTCTCAATTTGCGACACCTGGCCCCCTTTCCTGAGAGGCAATAATTAATTATTACTAATTTGGAACACCTTGTTGCATTTGTATAATCAGGGTTGTTTTTCTGGAAGTATGTTACTTCCTATGCAGACACTTATGTCTCAGGAGATCCTTCTGTATCTCCTCATAGTCAGGCCTGTGTTGGTCGTCCGAAGAATTGTATATTATAAGGAAATGCTGCCATATTCCTAATTGCCATATTTTGCAGATTATGTGAGAATATGTTATGCATATGATCATGCTAAAGCATATGCTATGAATCTTAAATCTAATCCCTCTGTCCTGAAAACTGACCACCCATCTTCACTCTTCATCTTCCAATGTCATTAATCCACAGGAGGACCTCTCGTCTCATCTAACTGTAGCTTAGTTTCTCTGAAACCCTTTAATAAGGGACCTCGTCCAATAGTCCTCTGAGGGCAGTTCACTACATTGACCAGCATAGCTTTGCCCACTCACTGACTTGCTCTGGGAACTCCAGCAGAACCATTGCCGTGATTTTCCTCTTAAAGACCATACATCTCTTGTCCTATCACATCATATTCCTTCAAATGCCTGTTAACTCTACTTTTTCTGGTAGCATCGTGTCCATAAGGAAGTCACTCTTCCCGACCTGTGGCTCCTCAGGTCCTTTAGGAACCTCTAAAAATGCTCCTTGTTTCCACTGCTCTGGTGTCGAAGCAAACCGAAGCGACAGGTTACACATCTCATTGGTGCCACCTGCTCCTGGCAACACGCTGCTACTCCCTTTGCCAATTTGTACTACAACCTCACGGACCAACACTTGTCTTTGCAACAGCTCCTGGGGCTGGTCTGCCAGGGAGACCGTCTCTGCAGGGGGAACCTCCCTGAGCCAGAGTGAGCAGAACTGCAAAGGATTACTTGTGCTTGTCTGCTATGGCCTTGTGTGCCTTGGGTGCCCCTTCAACACCTCAGTCACCTCTCATCCTGCCAGGCTCTCTGACAGGCTTCCTGCTACGGATGCGTCTGAAAACATTTATTATTCTTTTTTTTTTTTTTGTCCTTTAGGAACTACTTCTCAAAAATATTTGCTTTGGCCAGTCTTACAGTTTAAATTTTCTTTCCAGAGGTAATTATGATCTAAATTTTGCCAGAGGTTATTCTGTCTTCTTTGCTTCAGCAGAGTTTAAAAGGACTTTTATGGTGGAATTATGCTGCTGTAAAACCAGGAGAAAAGGGGAACACAGCCCAGTAGGAATATCCCAGGGACTGCAGTACACAAGTGAATGCGTCACCTCGTGCTCTCAGCACAGACAGAACAATCTGCCATGTGTGGGACTAATTCACCAGGGTACCCCAGCACAGAGAGGCATCTCATCTTCCCAAGCACAAACAGTGTCTGCAGTGACTCCAGCAGGGGCAAGGGCAGGGTTTTAGCACCATAAATAAAAGCATAAGTTGACCTACTGTGCCCCCATGCTTGCATTCAAAAAATGGTGGTTGACGGTGCTGACTCCAGCCACCAACCAAATGTGCCACGGTGACCTTTTCCATGACGTTGGCTGCATCATGTGTGATGGTGCTGGACATGTCCTCAAAGAGTGTTTCTGTCTTCTTTTCAGGGCCACCTTGAGGAAACTGCGCCCAGAGGACATGTTTGAGACGTGGGTAAGCACATGTGATGGGAAGCCTTGCGTCCCCTGCTAACTTCCAACAAGAAACGGCTGTTCAAAAGCTCAAGCCTCTGGCTGGGCAAAACATTATCTTTCCTTCCTTGCAAAGCCACTTTCCCTCCTCTGGGAAGAAGGGAAAGCCCTGGATGTGATGCCCAGTGCCTGAGTTCAAACGGTGTGCTCAAATGCTTTGCTCAACAGCAGTGGCCAGCTGAGCTGGGTCCTGTTTGCTCCACAGAGGGGACAGGGAAAGCTAACCAAGTGTGTCAGGTGGGTGTTGAGCCTCTGTAGCAGCCATGATATAGCTACGGAGAGCATCCTTGGAAAGGATCTCTCTATCTCATCTAATGGATGTCAGTGCTGGTGGTGGGGTGACTTCAGTGGCTTGCTGGGTGAGCAAGCTAAGTTTGTACCAAACAGATGACTCACGGAAATTGTACTGGTGCAGTTATACAATTCAAAATGCAAGTGAGGGACGGCAGTTCAGACAATTATATAGATTATGGAGCAAATTGTGCATTGATTGCACTTCTCATGGTGTGAGCAAGCTGCAAGTCAGTGATTGTGAAGAACTAACCAGCACTTTGGCACTGATCACACGCAGAGGTCTCTCTTGGTCTGCTAGTGTGGGGGAAAAGGGGAAGGGTGAAAATGAAAGAAAAATCATGTATAACAAATTATCCCTTTGCTGTGAATGAGCATGATGTTAAAAGGCAGTCAGGAACCCTCAAGTGCCAGCTGAATGCTGAAAAACAAAGCTGAACAGGTGCTTTACAGATGCTAGGGCAGATGCAGTCAGTCCTTCAAAAAGATCGGCACATTTATAACAGCATTCAGTTGCCTCGTTGCTTGGCTGTGTAACATGAAACACTGCAGTCCTCTGAAGCAGCAAAAATCTTGGGAGTCTTTAATACAACAAGGCAAGAGGTAATAAAACTGGAGCAGGAGTTATGAGTCACTTAGGCATGATAGCTTTTCATTTTGTTTTGAAATACAGATTCTGTATAGAGTCACAGAGTCACAGAGTCACAGAATTGTTAGGGTTGGAAGGGACCTCTGGAGATCATCTAGTCCAACCCTCCTGCCAGAGCAGGGTCACCTACAGCACGTTACACAGGACAGCGTCCAGGCAGGTTTTGAATGTCTCCAGAGTGGGAGACTCCACCACCTCTCTGGGCAGCCTGTTCCAGTGCTCCACTACCCTCAAAGTAAAGAAGTTCCTTCTCATGTTAAGATGGAACTTCCTATGTTCAAGTTTATGCCCATTACCCCTCGTCCTATCACTGGGTGCCACTGAAAAAAGACTACTCCCATCCCCCTGGCATCCTCCCATTAAGTATTTGTATGTATTAATAAGATCCCCCCTCAATCTTCTTTTCTCTAGACTAAAGAGACCCAAGTCCCTCAGCCTTTCCTCATAAGAAAGGTGCTCCAGTCCCCTAATCATCTTTGTTGCCCTTTGCTGGACCCTCTCGAGCAGTTCCCTGTCTTTCTTGAACTGGGGAGCCCAGAACTGGACACAGTACTCCAGATGCGGTCTCACCAGGGCAGAGTAGAGGGGGAGGATGACCTCCCTCGACCTGCTTCCTAGAACCTAGAAGATAGCTTCCTAGAACCACCGAAGACCCTCGAAGTTTTTTCGTAGGACTTCAATGGGATGCAAATTTCACATGCAGTGGGTTTGCTTTCATACTGAACATATTCTAAAATAACCTCAGGAAAAGTGTGAATTGTCAGCAGTGGGATGTTCACTTTACCAACAGCCTCGGAATACAGAGCTTGACTCCGCTATGAGCAGGGAACCTGTACCTACAGGTGACAACAGGCTGGATTCTGATCTTGCTGCAAGTTCAGAACATCCCCAATGCCTTCACTGGAGTTTCTCCAGTTTTCTTTGCTGCCTTGGAGGTCAGAATATAGCTATATTATATAGCTATATATATAATTATACATTGCATATGTATATTTTTTTTTTATTTTTGCTGTCTGACAATGCTGCAGGCAAATATGGACAAAAAGCAACAGTGTAGATTTTGCCAGCTGTAAGTGGTCTGAATCCCAAGTAAATCTGCCTAGAATACCCCTGTGAAAATGTATTCCCTGAAGACGCCAGCAAAGGCCCAGCATCCACTATTGTTTTTAAAGATAATGTTTTCCACTTAATCTTTCAGGGCTTTTTTTCCTTTCAGTTTTTGATGATGGCTTTGTCACCCCTGGGCTCAGAAGGGAAAAGAAATTAGCATTTAGATGGGAATTTTTGCTTGCATTAAAACCAATTGAAATGGAAACTGGGACCGGCAGCGGGTGAGGAAGGTGAAGCCGATCCATGGGATAATTCAGAGATGACATTCATAGCAGGCAGATGATGAACCGGCCGGCAGATCTATTGGCCTTTGCCAATATCATTACCCATTACTTGCATGTCTCATGGACAAAAGCAGTCCACCAGCCTGTCATTTCTGTCCTCCACTCATTGGAGCCCCGAAATGAGCTACCCACTCAATTCCCCTCACTGCTCACGGAGACTCTCACCTAGAGCAAGATACCCTTCACCTCCTGAAAGGTGCCCAAGTGAGCCACCTTGCCTCTCATATTGTAAGGAAACCTCCTTTTCTGGCTCTGAAGGAGCACGTTTGGGGTCTGAGCATGATGGTAGATATTTGTCTCCCCACAAACCATCCCCTGGCAGCTGCAAATTTATGAGGGTAGGTGGCCTTGGGCATGGGCATGGCATGGGCATATTCCCATGCTGGACGGCCCTTGGCCTTCTCTGCAGGCAAGGTTTTGCCCCACACCATCAGAAGCTCCCTTGCCTTTCCCATTATGGTGCCCACCTCATTTTTACCTGAAGGCTTTCAGCAGGGCTACCCAAACTACTCACTTCAGTGCCTAATACCTTCACGACTCACTCACCTCAGCTCCTATTTCTGTTGTCTCAGTGGGGCTCCAGTTGCAAGGCTCCCTTTGCAGTCCAAGCCTCCCTTTGCAATTGTCCTATTCATTTGAAGGCATCCCACTGCTCCTTGTCTCCAGCAACTGCCCAGACTCTGTCCTCCCTCCTTGACCCATCAGTAATAGTTTTGTTGTTTCCAGGAGGATGACATGGAGGGAATCCACATTGTGGCCTTCGCCGAAGAAGATGACCCAGGTAGGAGGCTGTTTTTCTCCTTGCGTGACTCTGCATCACTCAAGATGGTGTAGTTTCATGTGCTTTTTTTGCATTGTGGAGCTCCACACCCCAGGCGGGATGGGGAGCCCCAGCCTGCTGGGACAGGGAGCAGGCATGTTTCTGAGTGTTTAAGCTAGCAGGGGTGCTAGCTGGGACTCAAATGCATGGGGTCTAGATATAAATGGATGGCTGACGGGGGGAAAAAAAGTCATCCCCCCAACACCAGTGGCAAGATTTGCTCCCTAACCCTGCAGCTGTCTTGCTGTGTGGCTCTGGGAACGTGCTGAGGGCTGGGTGTGTGATGTGCTTGTGGGAAACCCATGGGCATTGGCTCCTGAAAAGCTGTGGCATCGGTGCTTCTCAGCACCATCAGTGTGCCGAAAAGCTTTGGCCTCTCGGGGGCTCGGTTCCTCCCTCGCCACAAGAAAATAGTGACATTGTTCCACTCCAAGGAAGGATTACGAGACTTAATTCATGTGTAACTAATTTCAATACCCGGGGAGGATGCTCAAAATTAAAAGCCTTATTATCAGAAGAAAGAGCCGAGAGACAGCATTTTAATGAGAACTGTAAACAACCTGTGTGCATAGGGGGGTGAGGGAAGTTGAAAACCCCGCAAGCGAAAAATGCCTGCGTGTTTGCAGGAGAGGCTTGCAGCAGTTCATATATCATTTCAGATGGTTTTGAGTTCCTGGAAATCCTGAAGCAGGTTGCCAGGGACAACACCGATAATCCTGACCTGAGCATTGTCTGGATTGACCCCGACGACTTTCCTCTGGTGAGTGGCAGGGGCTCCTTGCCTTTCTTGGTTTAATTCATGGATGGGGGGGGGGGCATCAGCCCAGACAGCTGAATTAACGCAAGGGGGTATAGCAAACGTCCATGTCTGAGCTTTGTTTCTCTCTCCTGCAGCTGATCACTTACTGGGAGAAGACCTTCAAGATCGACCTGTTCAGACCACAGATCGGGGTGGTGAATGTCACAGACGTGAGTAGCATGTGCCCAGAAAATCCAGCGATCCCAAGATTAGGGTGCTAGAAAAGACAGGATCTGAGGTCCTCTGGAATCAGTGGGATTTCTGCTGTTGAGTGCAGGTAGACCAGGCTTTTTCCCCAGGGAAAAAGGGTAAAGACTTCACCATTCCCATGTGCAGTTGGGTTCATAACATCTCCAACACTGGGCTTCAGGGCTTTGGTCTGAGCGTGTTTCTGCTGCCGAGTCACACACAAACCAGGTCTGTTGAGGACAGGACCAGCCCCTGTGGTCTGAGCTTCAGGGCTTTGCCTGGTTTTGGTTTCAAGGTCTTACACATCCTCCTCAACCCACAGCATATACCATTGTCTGTGCCCTGCTCTGACTGAACCTGGGTGGGCTTTTCAGGGAAAACTGTGTTTTGGGGAAAGCAAGCTGTGCGTAGTGGAGGAGAAGAGGAGAAAAAGGATGGTGTTTTTGCAGCAGAAGCAGAATGGCCCAGATTGAGTGTAGGAGGGAAAGATGGTCCCCAACAGATGACAGGGAGCAACTGCCCAGATTGAAAAATAAAAACAAATAAATACACAGCCTTAATAAGACTATGACATAAACTGGTAAAGGAGGGATCCTGCTGGGGTGAAGAGGGTATACTGGGATTCATCCAAGCCCCCTGCCCCCTCAGCCACTGCCGTGCAGGTGATGCTAGAAGGATTTGGGTGGGAAGAGGGGTTGTGTCTGCCCCATGCCCAGTGGCAGTGAAGGGTTTCAACACTGTATTGCAGCTGGCATTGCTGCAGAGGGACAGTAGCACAGACAGGTGCTGCTTTGGCACGGCTGTGGTGGTGGTGGTACCCAAAGCATCCACAGCTGTGCTATCAGGCCAGATTTCTAGCAGCTACTGCTTTCACCATGGTCTCCTTCAAGCCAGCAAGCCATGGGACTGATGTCAGGTTGGCCACACACTGTGAGATTTTAAGGCAGGTGGGAGAGGGACCCATCTGACCCCCACCAGCAGGGATCTGGGGAGAGCTGCTGAGTGCAACGTAACATGCATCACTGCCCTGACACGACTACAGAGAGAAACCATTTTTCCTCTGACAGTAATAGTTCACTCGATCAGAAAACACATAACATGGCGTGCTCCCGCTTGGTTCACTTATTACCTTAGTTTATTTTTGATGGTTAAGTGCTGGGTGTTTTAATCTCTTTAAAACGAACCTGTGTGAGTATGTAAGTGTCTCTGGAAGCAGAAATCTCTCCACTGCAGAAGTGTTCATATTTTGGTGCCTGACTTCTTTGTATTTGACATTTCAGCCACATGGAAACCTGATGTTTCATTAGGAGAGAGCAGAGAGGGACTTAGAGTTGGGACAGCTGGCCAGGTCCGGGCACTGGTCCTGGCCCTGCCACCAACCTTGCTTCCAGCCTCCACATCCTCTCTCCTGTACCTCCCCAGAAAAAGAGGGGCAGGGAGGGAGTACTAGACGATTGTCCCTCCTACTATAATAAAAGCTGCAAGACCGTAAGACAGGATACATGGTAGAGAAGGCAAAGTGATAGTGTTATGAAGAAAGTGGAGACCCTGGATCTTGCCCATCCCATTGAGGGGAATGAGAGGCATGCACACAGGCTGGCTTGGGAATTATGGAGTAGGTGCAGCACTGGCTGGATGTGAGCGGTGCTTTTCCTGTAACAGGGCAGCATCTGCCAGACTGTGGGACAGAGACCTAGAGAGTGGGCAGCCAGTGCGTTAAGGCTTGTTAGCAGAATTGTTAGAGACAAAAGGGAAGAGGGCCAAGGTAGCATCTGTCTCCTAAAATCATAAGAGAAATGAACAGACAAGCTAGAAATAGAGCCCAAGTCTTCCAGTCTTTTGCCCTTATTACTAGTTCGCAGTATCTCCCTTCATCATATTTACTGCAGTTGGCCATGTTTAAATCATATCAAAGCTACATTAAACAGCTATCAATGGAAATTCATGGAAGTAGGATTGTCAGTGGCAAAAGAATCATATAGAAAGCAATATTAGGCAGGAACATATGCCTTATTATCCAGCAGTCACTCAGAGACCTGTAAAACTCATGCATGATCTAGGTTTGATACAGTAAATGTTTCACATTGTTCATTATAGTATTTGAAGTTTTTATTTCATTCCACTTAAGTCTGTTTTCTATTCCTCAAGAGAGAGATTTAAGAAAGTTCTAGGTTGGCGGGTGATATCTAAAACAAACACTGAGCTCATTTCGTTATTTCAGTGTTACATCACTGCATTCAGCCAAGTTACACAGGTACAAAGTGGGGCTTACACAACAGAGTAAAAATAAACACTGCTGTTGGCTTCGGTGAACATAACCCCTGTGACCCCATCGCTTCTCTAAAAACCTGCCAATACAAACACCAGAGCTCCCAGCAGCCCCCACCGGCCTGTGACATCGTAGTGGCCCAGGATTAAGGCCATGACATGCTGCAAAATATTGCAGATTTATTTGCCCAGTATCTTCTCTGGGTGCAATGGGCCCACTCCTGTTCCCTGTATTTAAAGGTGTCACTTTTTACTGCACAAACAGTCCTGAAGTTGGGGACAAGATCATTTTCATGAAGCTGCATGCCTCCCTGTGGCTCTTTTTTGTAACAGTTTTGGTGGTTTGTGTTTTAGGAGGAAAATCTTGCAAGGCAGAAACAGGTTTTCTTGAGCAAAGATTGGTTTGGCTTTTTACCAAGCCATACAACAGAGAGAATTAGGTACCACAGACAGGGAAAGAAGTGGGGCACATTTGCTAAAGCCAGTAGTTATCTTCTGAAATATGAAAAGCATTTGCTTCTGCAACATCAAATGCTGAACGAGATAACCTCACAGCACTCCCGCAAAATAGGAGGCTGATCCCATTTTACGGAGCGGAGGCAGTGAAGGGAGAGAGGCTTAGCCAGATATTTACCCAAGGAACCTATAGCAAAGCAGGGAGAAAACCTTTCATTTCCAGATCTCAGAGACTACCTAAGCTATGCTTCCTGTCCCTGGGTAACAGCCACAATTTAGACAGCTTCTTCCCGTTGTGTTTTAGACAGCATCTTCTTACTGAATCCCCCCATTCCCTGTATTTTGTGGAAGTAATGCAGACAGCTGGAGAGAAAGAGCAGGGGGCACCTATAGTCCAGGGCATCAGTGTTTTTCACCATTCTTCAGCTGGAGCATGGTTGAGATGATCTGAGGAAAGGCTCTTCCAAGAGGACGAACCGCTATCACATGTGGAGAGTCCAGAGCAACATCCTGAGGTAAAGGTGATGGTAAAAGAGGCTGAGGAGAAGGGATGCTGACATCAGGGTGTAAAGGCTCAAAGGAGGAGGTCCCAGAGGGGCTCTGGAAGTAAGGAGGGAAATGCTGTGATGTCCTGTGAACTGGGATGACAGAGGGGGAGCTGGCATAGGTCTCTTTATGCTCTCTTTATGTAGACTTGAAGTCTACAGAACTGGCCAGATGGGGTGAGGACAATTGCATCAGGCAGACAATGCTCTTGCTCACAGGTATAAGCGGTGCAGGAGAGGAACAGGCAGCAGGCACACATCCAACCCAGGGCAAACAGTACCACACACTCATGTAAACCCATTGACCAGTCCCACTGCCCCGAGTCAGAAGCAACAGCACTTCAGGGGAAGTGGTAATCCCAACGTGTGGGCAGAGAGACACTGTGGCTGAGCCTGCTCACAGGCTGTGACAGAGAGGGAGCTAATGCCACCGCCATGTCTCCATCCCACCTGTGGTCCAACCCTTACCCCCACAATAGCAGTGAACCTGATCTCTTCCCTGTGTCACTGGGGGGTGGCTAATACCCCATCATCTGTCCCTTCAGGCTGACAGCATCTGGATGGAGATCAGAGACGACGATGACCTGCCCACTGCCGAGGAGCTGGAGGACTGGATAGAGGATGTGCTTTCTGGGAAGATAAATACCGAAGATGACGATGACGATGATGACGATGATGACGACGACGACGACGACGATGATGATGATGACGATGATGACGACGATGACGATGATGATGACGACGACGACTAACCGTGACCCTGTGCAGTTTGACTTGTGGGGGCTGAGAGGCCTCCCCCCCCCCGGCAGGGCCCCCCACCGCCACCGCTCCCCCGGCTCCTGCCCTTGCCAAGACCCCCCGGCCTGATTCTCAGCGGTGCTGAGCCACCGGGACTGCCCTTGCGGCGGGCGGGCGGCGCCTGCAGGCACCCAGCACCGCTGTAAATCATGCCCCCTTAGTAAGGACAATAGGAATCTGCAGGGAATCTGCCCCCAGTGCCCCAGGGCAGGAGGAAAGTCCCTGCCTGCTCACTGCCAGAGGGACGCAGGGAGCCAATTTGTATTTTCCGTGCTCATCGGCCCAGCACTTACATCCAAAGACCAAATCTCACTTCAAGACATAGGGAAGGCCACTGTAAAGTTTAGTCCTTTTATTAAACACAATGCCCTTTGCAGCTACTCTGCCAAGACCATTCAATCCTGCAAGTTCTGCTGCGAGAGTCTATAGCTACTCATTAACATGCTAGGAGCAGCAAAAAGCTTTGGGAGGGGAGGAAGGTTTTTGGGATGCTATTAAAGTTTTCAATGATTCCATATAATGACAGGATATTCTTGTCTGGCAGAGCAATGCAAAACCAAACACCATGGTCCCTGTCTGAATGTTTTTCTTCTTGAAAGCTCAGGCAAAATATAGAGTAAGTGTAGGTGGTCTGATATGGGACATCAAAGCTTGCAAGTTCCTACTGCTGGAAAGGCCGATCCAGGTCTGAGCCCAAACTCTTGAGGCAGAAGATCACGGCAGGGAGCCATACCGTTGGTCTTAACCCCAAAGAAACACCAGAGCAGACCCCAGGCCAGTTCCAAATACAAAAACAAGGTCTGGGCTGGGCCTACCTTCCCTTTCAGATGAACCTCAGCTGGATTGAAGGTGGTGCACATGAGATAGACAGCATAGTCCTGCCAATGGAAACATTCACAGGGGCCCACCCTGAAGCCCCCCTATTCCCCATGACCTTCCATCTCTAGCTGACTTTTAACCCAAAGCCTATATAGCATCTTTTCCCATGACCAAGATGTCGGGCAGGAACACATCCGTCCAACCCCATTAGATGCTGGATAATATGCGTTGGGCAATGAGCAGTGAAAGGATTCAAGCTGTTTGGCTTTTAACTATTCAGTTGCCCAGTTACTCCCTGCTTAGAGATTCGGAAGTCCCATGGTAGCCTGTGAGAAGCCTCTTTTGCCTGCAGACCGAGAAGGAGCTCAGGGCACCAGTTTGCAGTCAAGAGGGTCACTCACAAAGCAAAGGGTCAGCAACTCAGTCCTGGCGAGTGCAGCACCATCCATGTGCAGGTCACTGCGACAGTGTTAGGTCTCCCTGCTTTCCCATGCCGACAGATTTCAATTGTCTTAGCTTATTAGGTTTGACAATAGTGCAATGAATGGAGAGTTTGGAGATAGTTTTATCTTTATAAATACATTTATAAATATGTTCTCCAGTCATTTAGACTTGTTAGCATAGGTAGGGTACACATGTCCTCTCTTGCTACAGATGAAAAAATATTATTCTGACCTTTCTTATAGTCGTTTACGTCAGAGGTAAGTGATGTTAGAGGAAATAATGGTATGAGGGACAGGAGAATCAGGTTCGTTATACGAATGTGAATCAGCCTGATGAGAAACAAGGTTTACACATGATACATTTCCTTTATCAGATGAACTGCAAAGCAAGATTTTATAGGTGTTTTTTTTCTCCTGCCTGTTGATCAGTCTCTTTGACTCTCTCTCTCTCCCTCTCTACATTAGCTGAAATAGAAATTTGAAACTACCGGTATAAAAAGTTGAAGTACTGATATGTTCCTACGTGTGCCATATCCCATTGGTGGAATCTGCCAGCATGAACAACATGCAGCCGGATATCTATATATCTCTATGTATATGAATGAATACCATGCTTATATGGTATATGACCGTAGGCCATGTTTGCTCCTCATTGAACATCAAACATTCAACAGGTCCTTTTCAGACATAGCTTATTAGAAGAATAGACAGGACAGCAAAGCCCCCAGGTCAACTATTTGCCCTTTCTTGCTTCTTTATGATGCATAAGCTCTGCCTGGAAGGCTTAAACCAAGTGTGTTTGGGGAGACCATCCACCTGGTCGCACCGGGGTTATGAACAACTCGGCCCCATCCCAGAGGACCTGGTGGAGACTTTCCGAAGGCTCAAAACACAGAGCATGCTCAGCCTGGAGGTCCACTCCTCTCCTTCACACACCCCTCTCTCCTGGCCGGAGGGATGCCCATCACCCTCCCTCTGCTCTTTCCTTTCAGCTGTTTCCTCCAGAGGTTTGCTGGAGGACCCCAGCTCAGAGAGAGAGGGAGCAAGCTGGACTCAAAGTCTCACTGATGTACATCGGTAAGGAGCAAGAACGGGCAAAACTAACCATTTAGTAATCTTCCAGCCTGTGATTAAGGGAACAAATACTCACCTGAGAAAAGTATTTGTTTATTTTACCTTGGGGCTGTGCCCAGGAGTAAAACACGCACAGTTTCACCCTGCTTAAGGTTACGGCCTGCACGGGCCCTGCAGATCCAGATCAGTCGCTGCAAAGTGCCGTGAATTTCTATAAACACGAAGAATAAACGAGGAGTTGCTCTACTGCCTTTCCTAACTGGCACCGTCTCCGGAAATCCCGATTGCCTGGGTACCTTCTGTGTACCTGCCCTCCCGCTGTGGATGCCTGTCTATTCTCATGCACCCCTCTCCAGGTGCTCGGAGAGGCAGAGCTTACACAGGCAGCGCCCGCAGACCCTGCAAACAGCACTATGGACATGTTCAGGTGCACAAGTGTTTCACAGGCACACACACATTTCAAGGCATCAAGCAACGGAGCTCTCGGCCGGGGGAAATAATTAATGTAGTGGTGCTTAGGCTTATACAGAGGCCGGTGAGGCTGAGGCTCACTATAACGGGGCTAGTGGGCTGGTGTCAGTAGTTTATGGAAAGTTTCCCTAGAGTTATGAGAGAAAGGGCTAATCCTATAGCTGCTACTCCTTCACGGTGCCAGCACAGTCCTTGATGGTGCCCTTTATCTCTTCCTCATCCCCCCATTATAGTTTTCATCATTCTCTTTGCCTACGAAGGGGAACTTTTTATCATCAGCTTTTGGGATAAACACATAAAAAGTTAAGAAAGCGTTGCAGCAGAAAAAAAGGATTGCAGCAACGAAGATGAGTAGGCAGCAAAGCCTCTCCCATTAACCTGTAACACCTCGTCTACCCTGAGTTCATAGTGACTCAAGCACTGAGCAAAGAAATACCCTTTGTGAAGCAAATGGCAGCTTGAATTTGAACATCTTCCTTGCAGGGACAGGTTAAGATGGTGGCATGGAGAGGTATCACATGCAGGACCCCAGGCAGGGGCGCTCCTGGGCTCCTCTGTCAGAAGCAGGCACAACCGGCATTTGAAAGGCACTGGCAACCCTGAGGAGCAAAGCTGGCCTAACCCTGGCCGCTACATACTCAAAGGCAAAAGGTCAGTATGTTTGGATGAGGAACCAGAAAAAAACACCTCTTTATTTAAAAAAAAAAAAGTGCACCGTGGGCAGCACTGAGTGTTTCTGCAGGCAAGTCTGTTAAGACTATCCCTCTCAGCAAATAGTTCTTTTTCTCCAAAGTGTTAATTAGACATTCATAGTAAATGGGTCTTAAGACAAGGAATTGTGTTTTGCCCTCATTGAACTGCTGATCAGTCACTTCAAAGTACCGAAAATCCTAGTGTCTTATCAGCCCCAAGCGACAGTGAGGTCCATCCCCCCCCTTGCAAGTGATATGTGGTAAGAACACGAAGTCATACACCGCCTCCTCCCAGTCTCCAGACACGGGGCTGGGTGCCACAGAAGAGGGCTTTGTTTGGTGTGCTGGACCACAGGCTGGACCATAGGCAACAATCAAGGGAGAGGGAATCCCATCAAGAGCCACGTACTGCAGCTATCACGCAGAAGCACAAAGGAGGAAGCTTCTGCCTTTGCAGTGGACCCAAGGACACTGATGGAGAGGCTCTGTGAACCCAAAACTGCTCTGAGCTGATGACAACCATTTGGGAAACAGCTCCAGGAGTGGACAAGGGAGGCACTCTGGAAATCACAGATTACTCCATATTTTCAGGGTCAGCAGTTTTCGTGGTGTTTCTGAGGAGTGATGAAAGTCTCCTGTGCTGCCCTTGGGAGAGTGAAACCAGAGATCTCAGCTGCTTCGCATCCCAGAATGAAGCTGCTCAGTCAGACGCCAACATGCACGCATGGCCGAGGACACCAACTGCTTCTCCCTGTCTGTCTGCACATTATACCTCAGAAATGATTGATCCATTGCCGAGACCAAACAAAAAAACATTGCCTTCCCTTTTGTTCCCAGGGAAATAATTAATTAGACAGGAACGTATCCCTTCCCAGCTGCCACTGACTCGCCATCCTGTGAAAGCAGGCCAGGATTGCATCTGGGTTCCTCTCTGCCCCAGCAAAACTTTGGCTTTGGGAAAGCCCCACACACTGGGGAAGCCAGTTGCACACCGATGCCTGGACTTGGAGGGCCAAAGATGGGGAAGGGGTGATCAGGCCACAACCACCAAGGCCCTCCAGGGCAAATCTGCCTCCTGGCTATTTTCACACCCCTGGTACATCTACGCTGTGCAGCGCAACACCATCCGCTAGAAACTGGAAGCAGCAGAGCACAGCAGGAAGGATAATTAACCTCGGTAATGAGGCTGCACCAGCAGGACTGTGTCCTACCCAAGGCTCTGTATGTCATCCTCTGCCTTTTCCCCACTCCCTTGTACCACTGACACCTGGGCAAAGCAGCCCTTCAATGGTCAGTACACCCTGGGGCCAGCCCTGGGATGCCTCTCACACCTGTTTGGCAGAAGAAGACATCTAATGACGATGCGGACCATGGGGCAGGGTCCAGGGCAGAGCCAGCCCTCTTGGCCCAACTCCTAGAATGATTCCTGCCAGGTTTAAAAGGTGCTAAATTATTTAAAGGGGGGGGAAGGGACACGGGGGGACGGGGACAGGGGGAAGAAAAACAGCTTCCTTGCAGCTTGAAGACTCATTTCTGGAGTCAGATTACAAGCAGCTTTTGGGATGGAAGCACAGATCCTTCTGGTGCCTTGCTCCCCCCTTCCGCTCCCCCCCTCACACCTTCTCTTGCCAAGCCCCTGTGATGAAGGAGATCAGGAGATCAGCAAAGCACTCAATTGAGTTCTGATATTGTCCCTAATGCTATGGAAAGCAAGAAGATGACACAGCTTTTTTACCTTCTCTTCTTCCCTTTTGGCTTATTACTCTTCTGGTCTTCACTGGCTCCCTTAATTTTTTTTCTCTCTCCATTTCTATCTAGCACGTCTTCTTCCCAACCCACCCCCACAGCATATGGTATCGAGGGTCTCTTAAGGACAAGGCTCTCTCTTTCCCCTACTGCTTGAGTTCATGCCCAGCCCCAGGAGGAGAGCAGCCTCCCTCACACCCCTGCCAGGAACCAGCTGTGGTGGAACCCCGTGCCATGAGCCCATAGCTGTGAACACGGGGAGGGACAACATTTCCTTCCCAAGGAGAAATCCAACCAGACAAGGCTGAGGCTGGCTTTCCTTTTTTTTGGGGGGGAACAGGTGGGACAGGCTCAAGGTAAAGCTGTTTCACCAACCTGAGCACTGCAAAAATACCA